TTTTTTTCTTTTATTTTACCAGTGTGAGTGAACCGTGTAAGTAACAGGGCCAACTGGAGATTGCATAATGGCTAACAGTGGTGTCAATTAGATCCTCACTCTGGGTGCTTTTCGTATGAAGTGTATCCTGCCTCCACCGCCTCCAAAGGCACTCAGATTTGCTTCCTGATGAGATCTGCCCACCCACCCCCCACCCCCGAAGGTGATTTTAAGTTAGTGGCTTTTAGACGGCAGGAGCTGGCCCACTGGCTGCAGGAAAATACCACCCTGGGCTCCGTTTCATTGTCAATTAGATCCTCACTCCGGGTGCTTTTCGTATGAAGTGTATCCTGCCTCCACTGCCTCCAAAGGCACTCAGATTTGTGTAAAAGGGAATGGGTTGCTTCCTGATGAGATCTACCCATCCCTCCGCCCCCGAAGTTGATTTTTAAGTTAGTGGCTTTTAGACAGCAGGAGCTGGCCCACTGGCTGCGGGAAAATACCACCCTGGGCTCCGTTTCATGTGACACGTCACAAGCGAGCATAACACCTCTCATCTTGCAAGCTGTTGTGTAACTTCTGCATGTAGCACTATAATCCAGATGTGGGGGGGTAACTAAGTACCTTATTAAAGAAGTCAGACTTTCCAAGGGTCAGTCTAGATAAATACCTGATTGTTTTTATCATTCACTGTCCCATATTCCTAGCTATCCTCCATTCCTGCAGCCCGTGTTTCCTTTTTAAAGGGTGGTTTGTTACGCAGCTGTCCTCCCCCGGTGCTCACGCTTGCTCTGCAGGCGGCGTTTTTAGAATTCCGAATGGGCTAGGGCAGTATTTCTACCCTTGGTCGGTTTATTCAACCTTCGTGTATCCATTAATTTGAGTTAGCATAGCAGGTGGAAACCTCCTCTGAATCTCCCAGGTGAGCTGTCGTCTTCCTGTTTCTCTGACATGTCAGGTACGCAGCTCGACTGGTGGATTCACTCACTGATCTTTGAGAGGCCTAGGGTATTGTTCAGTGGTCTCCCTCTGATTCTACCTGATATCTGTTTAAAAGACATCTGGTGCTCACTCTTGCTGTGCAGGCGGCCTTTTTAGAGTTCCGAATGGGCTAGGGCAGTATTTCTATTCTTGGTCGGTTTATTCAACCTTCCTGTATCCATTAATTTGAGTTAGCATAGCAGGTGGAAACCTCCTCTCTGGATCTCCCAGGTGAGCTGTCGTCTTCCTGTTTCTCTGACATGTCAGGTACGCAGCTCGACTGGGGGATTCACTCGCTGGTCTTTGAGAGGCCTAGGGTATTGTTCAGTGGTCTCCCTCTGATTCTACCTGATATCTGTTTAAAAGACATGATACAGTTTGGTGTTCAAATCCATGACGTTGGAGCATATTTGGCCTTTTCAGTTGCCTTGGGCAAAGCAGACCTTTAATGTCCTCCAAAGCATGCGGTGTATCCCCCCTTTCCTGCTTCTCTATAATAAAATATGCTCATTTTGTATAGAGGGTATTGAGATTGTGCCCACGTTTTTACACCTGTGAAAAATAAACAGGATGTTCGTTTTTGTCTGCGTCCCAGTGCGGAACTGAAAGGTGAGTTGACTATGTGTTTCTCCAGTAATAAAACTAAGACCAGTTCTACAAACAAGCCACCTCATCTGTAGTACCTCTTTGATGTGAAGCATAACTGTGACCATTAATAGCATGCTGCCTTTGTCAATGTTCACAATTTCAGTAAACAGATGCAGCATTTAAAAGACTGTGACCTCTTCTGCTGTCGACTCATATCCTCTTGATAGCATCAAAACTGTGTCTTGAGAACACACAGGCTGCATTTCTCCTTGTGCATCCACACCCTCCAAAAACAACACAAGATTTCCATCTTCGGACACATTCCTTATAAATAACGGCTCTGAAACAGCAGCAGCCCTCAAGCTCTGTGTGGACCAGTCTTCCAGCTAAGGTGCCTCCCACCTCACCCCGTCCAAAGTATACAAAAATCTCTTTTATGTTTTGGGTTCCTCTCCCACCCACCCTTCACCAGCGTTTTCTGAGGTAGAAAATTTGACTTTTTCGTACATTCAAAGAGTTCTTTGCTAACATCCTATCATTTGTAGCTCAGTCTCTTCAGTCGAACTCTCTGAAAATGAAAGGAGATTATTTATTATTGGGGGGAGGGATCAATTGTGTAAAGGAGACATTTTAGAATTAACATAGTCATGGCTGCTAGGGGAGAACTTCCTAACCTGAGAAACATACCAAGAATCACTAAGTGCAGGCTTGGAGCTGCGTACTCTCTTGGGACTGTGCATACTCTTCGCTACCCATCCTTGCTCTCCTTTGCTCTGAAATCTACCAATGTACGGAATGGCTGGGCTTCCAATAGATTCAGGTGGGTAGCCATGGCTGCGGTCACACGGGCAGGAAAATGTGGGTGGGAAGCATGGCTGTTTGCCCCGGGGCAAAATAACGTGCGGTTGCATGAGCAGATATCCCGTGGAGGTCCCGTGGTAGTGGGGAGGTGCCGATCACACCATAATCCTGCGGCGCGGCAAAGAAGCGGCGCGCCGCAGCAAACAGGTGGGTTTTTCCCCTGTACACCGACGTGTGCGCATGCCCCGTTGGGTGCTTGTGCGCATCCCGAGGACACTTGGAAAAAACCACACCTTTTTGCGAGGGGACATGGGCAGGCGCCAGATGCCATGGGATTCCACCAGAAACGCGATCACGCACCCGCCCTTGCCCCGCGGTTTTTACCACGCATCTTCGGAGTGAAGCCTTGGGTGAGCCATGGGAACTCTACGCTTCCCAGATGTGGCGGTGAGATTGCGCCCGGTAAATCCGCATATCTTCTGTCTCTCTAGCGTGCCTAATGCTCCGTGTGACCACAGTCCTAGTTGTGCAACAGTGGAATCAGCTGCCTAGGGAGGTGGTGAGCTCCCCCTCACTGTGGTCTTTAAGCAGCAGCTGGACATACACTTGTCAGGGATGCTCTAGGCTGATCCTGCATTGAGCAGGAGGTTGGACTAGATGGCCTGTATGGCCCTACTCCATGATTCTATGATTCTAGTTCACACTCAGGCTGCAGCGTCCTGCAGGGACATGGAAGGTAGGGTTGCCAGGTCCCCTTGGTTTGCCAGTGGGGGGATTTAGGAGGTGTTCCGTTGTGTGGTGACACTCTGCCTTTTGGGCAAAAATCTAATTTTTTGGGCCTGAATCATAGCGTTTTGCCCAAAATGCAGAGCATTGCTTCGCAACATCCCAATGTAATGATGTCACTTCCCCATGACCATCACATTGAGGTTGTTGCTGTGTGATGTTCCGGTTTGGGGGTGGAGCTTCCCCACCAGCCAGCTGGCTGGCAGTGAAGTCCAAAAAAATCAGAGGAAGCCCCACCGAGACAGGGAGTCTGACAACCCTAATGGAAAGCCATGTAGCGAGAGAGGACAAAGTGAGAGACAGAGGAGGGGTCAGAGGGCAGCTCCCAGGATAAGACAAAGAGAGGCATCCTATTCAAGGAGATAACACCTAAACACCCTTAGAGTGATGTAGTGCCCTCCAAATGCCCAGGCATGCTGAGTCACTGACTCCAACAGGGAAAACCATAAGAGCATAAGAAGAGCCCTGCTGGATCAGACCAGTGGTCCATCCAATCCAGCATTTGTCTCACTCAGTGGCTGACCAGTTACTTTGGAGGCCCAATCACAGGGCATGGAAACCAAGGCCTTCCCCTGGTGCTGCCTCCTGGCACTGTTATTACTCCTTTCCCCTCCCCACAACAGACACCCTGTAAGGTAGGCGGGGCTGAGAGAGCTCTTGACAGAAAGTGCTCTTTTTCAAGAACAGCTCTTATCAGAACTATGGCTTGCCCAAGGTCATCCAGCAGCTGCAAGTGGAGGAGTGGGGAATCAAACCCGGTTCTCCCAGACTAGAGTCCGTGCAGTTAACCACTACACCAAACTGGCTCCCCGCTATCTAACTTCAACAGCTTCTCATCCCAACCCATGAAAGAATTCTAGGCTAGGATCTCTTCCTAGTTTTGAATATATGGGAGTTAATTTAAGGGCCAATTCACATGGGAAAGTAGCTGTGATGTCCGACCTGGAGTCCGAAGAGGCACAACGCAGGAAAGGTTGGACCGTGTGATATTTTTGTCATATACCCTGGCCCTTATTTGTTTTATTTTTAATATAGAATATTTCCATGACGCCTCTTCAGACTCCTGCTCGAGGCAGCTTACCCTTAGAAACCGTAGTATAAAACTCAAGCCATTAAAAAGACAAGCAGCATAAAATGATCCATAAAACAGAGCAGACCATTACAAGGCTGATAACATGCAACCTCAATTAAGAGCCTGGGTGAAAAGTAGGGATGCCAGCTTCCAGGTGGGGCCTGGGGGGAGCCCCTGGGATTACAGCTCATCTCCAGACTACAGAGACTAGTTGTTCCCCTGGAGGAAACGGATGCTCTGGAGGGTGGACTCTATGGTATTGTACTCCACTGAGGCCCCTCCGCTCCCCAGGCCTTGTCTCCCCAGGATCCACCCCCAAAGTCTCCAGGAGTTTCCCAACCTGGAACTGGCAACCTTGTGCCCCATCCCCTACCAGTGGCCGGGGGGAACAGGCAACCCTAGTAAAAAGATGTGTTTTAGCGTGGCACCTAAAAGAAAGTAAAGCAGGTGCCAGGCGAGCCTCAGCGGGGAGGGCATTTCAAAGGCAAGGTGCCACCACAGAAAATGCCCTGTCTTTAGTCACCACGCCATCAGGAGGTCCACCAGTGGGGCCAGGACATTAGAAGCCCCCCCCAAGCACCAAGATGACAGAGCATCACTTGCCCCAGAGTCCCTATCTATACCTTGTGGCTAATAGCCACTGATGGACCTCTGCTCCATATGCTTATCTAGCGTGGCACCTAAAAGAAAGTAAAGCAGGTGCCAGGCGAGCCTCAGCGGGGAGGGCATTTCAAAGGCAAGGTGCCACCACAGAAAATGCCCTGTCTTTAGTCACCACCCACCTCACCTCTGAAGGCTGTGGCAAAGAAAGCAGGGCCTGAGAGGCAGCTCTGAAAGTGGCAGGCTGACACATCGGCCATTTCTCCACCTGAGTCCTCAGCTCTATAAGAGGCATGTTAATACTCTGCGTCCTAGAATTCTTGTAAGGACGGATGATTGAAAGTAGACTGTACAGCATCTGCAATGTTATTGTATAGACAAGAGCTTCCTGGAGTTGCTAGGTCTCCAGCTGTGGCCCCGAGATCGAACTATCGTGAGGATAAAATGAAGGAGAGAACCCCGTATGCCACCCTGAGCAATTTGGAGGAAGGGTGGGGTAAAATGTTTTAAATAAGGGGAGGACATTCTGTGCTGGGCTGCTTGTGTCCCTGCAAACCTTACCCGTCAGCGGGTGCCTCTCCTTCTGAAGCAGGTGCAGGGATTTGTTGCACAGCCACATGAGGCAGATGAGGATGGAGGACACAGCAGTGAGGAATGCAAAGAAGACGGCCACAAAGTGCAAGTCCTCATAGCGGATCTCTGCAGAGGGAGGAGAAAGACGGCACTTCTGAGAGGCGTTTGCATTTCAAAGCTTACAAAGAAACCAAGCCCAGTTCAGCTGGGTAATCTTGTGACATGAAGAAGAAAAAGAAAATATTGCCCTTTACCCGAAGAAGTCTCAGAGGTGCTTACAATCTCCTTTCCCTTCCCCTCCCTACAACAGGCACCCTCTGAGGTAGGCGGGGCTGAGAGAGCTCTTTCAGAGAACAGCTCTGAAAGAACTTGTGACTGACCCAAGGGCACACCAGCAGCTGCATGTGGAGGAGTGGGGAATCAACCCCGGTTCTCCCAGATTAGAGTCTGCGCTCCTAACCACTATACCAAACTGGTCTTTGGACTTCTGAATTTCCCCCATTACTTTCCTCTCTCTCAGGCCTTCTGTATACAGGCAGTAGAATCCAGAGGTACAGAATGGACTGTGCCTCTTCAGAACATGGCAGGCTGGGGAGTCATTTTGAAAAGTTCACCACACACAAAAAAATTCCCCACAAACAGAAAACCGGCACAGCAGGGAAAGGGGTGGGAGGTAGAACCTCTCCCTTTTCGCTCCACTAAGTTTTTGCTGCAGGGAGATCGTGTGTATGTGCGTTAGGCTTGCCAGTCTCCAGATGGGGCCTGGGGATCTCCCAGAATTATAATTGATCTCTAGACTTAGGAGCAGTGTTCCCTCTAAGCTGAGTTAGTGTGAGCTAGCTCACAGTTTTTTAGCCTCCAGCTCACACATTTTCATCTTAGCTCAGGAAGGAGGGCTCCAGAGCAGACTAATTTACGCAGGAGCCAAATTGCTCGCTCACAACTTGAATGCCAGTAGCTCACGAAGTAGAATTTTTGCTCACAGGACTCCACAGCTTAGAGGGAACATTGCTTAGGAGACCAGTCCCCTTGGAGAAAACATCTGCCTTGGTGGGTAGACTTGACGCCGTTATGCCCAGCTGAGGCCCTTCCCCCTCCCCAAACCCCACCCCCAAATCTCCAGAAATCTCCCAGCCTGGAGTTGGCAACCCAAGAAGTCATCCGTACCAGAAACATTCAGTAAAATGGTGCCGTAGATGGTTGTTCCAAACTCTTCCGTGACTGTGACCAAGTAGTAGCCCGAATCCCTCATTGCCACGTTCAGAATCTGTAGAGAACCATTGCTGTAAACGTTCACTCTGTCCCTGTAACTGCTGGAGATGTTGGTGTAAGTCCCCGGTTTCCACTCGGCGATTTTGGTCGTGCCCCATTTGGCTGTGTGCTTCCACTCGATGACGGGGACCCCCTTGCAGGTATAGGCGACCGACAGCAAAATATTCTTTGCCACTGTGGCGTTTAGACTGGGTTGCGAGACGTGCAATGAAACTTCTCCTGGAGCAAAAAATAATTATTATTATCAATGTTGCAGTCATTCTTCTTGTAAGTCTAGGGTTGGCCAACTTCCACGTGAGGCGTGGAGACCTCCTGGAATGACAGTTGCTTCCCAGACAGCACAGAACAGTCCTAGAGAAAACAGCTGCTCTGGAGGGCGAACTCTATGGCAGTGTACCCTTCTGAGGTATCGCCTCTCCACAAACCCCGCCCTCCCCGGGCTCTGCCCCCAAATCTCCAGGAATCTCCCATCCTGGAGCTGGCAATCCTATGTAAGGCCAAAGCAGAAGTGAGCCTGCAGATCTATGATGAGGACTGTCCCAAGATTTGGATACTGATCTTTTACTCTTTTTGAAGAACTACTGCAAGACGTGCAGATTCCCCTGACGAATTTTAGGGGATTTTTGGAAATTTATCTGCGTAATAAAAATAAAAGGCATTTTCCCCCCTGGTTTTCGCACCGTCAGCCCTAGCCCTATTTTTTTTATCTCCCATGATTCTGAGGGGCAGCAGATGGGGCACTGGGACTGGGGATTAACCCTGCCCCCATTTTCTCAGTCACCTGAAAAATTTATTTCTGTTGTGAGGGGGAAATTCAGGTACCCATTTGGGGCCTGTATGTTTGCCCTGAGGAAACAGGGTACAGCTTGTTGCAGTTTTGAACAATCTGTTTCAGTTTAGAAAGTTGGCTGGGGATTGTCAAGAATTTTAAAGGAATTTTCCAGCTAGTTCTAGCTAAATGTCACTGTTCTCTGATTTTCTGCAAGCGTCAGACATCCCCCCCAGGTGGTGGCTGGAGATCTCCTGGGATTAGAACTGATCTCCAGGCAACAGAGATCGGTTCCCCTGGAGAAAATGGCCGCTTTATACGGCGGACTCTATGGCATTATGACCTATTGAAGTCCCTCCCCTCCTCAAACCCCATCCTCTTCAGGCTCCACCCTTCGAATCTCCAGGTATTTCCCAATCCAGAGCTAGTAACCCTACTCACGCCGGCAGTTACTCTTCAAGGGAGGGTTGCCAGGTCCCTCCAGGTCCCTCCTGGCAACTGGTGGGGGATGGAGGGACTTACTAGGAGCAGGAGGGAGAAGAAGAAGAGAAGAGATTGGATTTGTACCCCACCCTTCACTACCCAAGGAAGTCTCAGAGCGGCTTACAAACTCCTTTCCTTTCCCCTCCCCACAACAGACACCCTGTGAGGTAGGTGGGGCTGAGAGAACTCTTGACAGAAACTGGTCTTTTTCAAGGACAGCTCTTATCAGAGCTATGGCTTGCCCAAGGTCATCCAGCAGGTGCCAGTGGAGGAGTGGGGAATCAAACCCGGTTCTCCCAGATTAGAGTCCGCGCACTTAACCACTACACCAAACTGGCTCAGACTACATCGCTGGTGATGTGATGTCATCACTTCCAACGTGTACCGGAAGTGGCATCACTGTTGTTGCAACGCTCTGGTATTTGGGCAAAAACAGCTTCTGGTATTAGGGTTGCCATTCCCCAGTTGGGGGTGGGGGATTGTTGGTTTTGTGGACTCCTGCCTACCGCCGTCCAGCTGGCCGGCAGGAGGAAATCCCCCCCCCCAGCAGCATTGCATGATGTGCCTGCATCACCCAGAAGTGATACGGGCACACCAGGGGTGACGCTCTGGCTTTTGGGCAAAACTCTATGGTTTGAGGGGATATTACCACAGTTTTGCCTAAAAACCAGAGCTCTGTCCCCTGATATGCCTACATTACGTCTGGGTGATGTAGGCATGACACATGGGGTGCGTTCAGACGGGGGCTTTCTGCCGGCATAAACGCGATCACACTTACCTCCATTTTGCGGTTCCCATCGTTGTACGCCGGGTCACATGCTGCGGGCGTCGGCGTTTAAAAAACAACAACAACAACACACAGTTTGAGCATGTGCATAGGCAGCCATTCACAGAATGGCGATCTTTGCGCATGCTCAACCCCCCCCATTACATTTAAACTTTAAAGGTAAGGACTTACCTTTAAAGTTTAAAGCCCAACCTGGCCTCCCTGTAGTCCCGGACTCCTCTGGATAGTTAAAGGAAGGTTTTGGGGGTTTTTTTAAACGGATGCTCAGGGCGAAGCTTTGGCCGAGCGCATATCGCTCAGTTAAAAAAAAATGACGGGGGAAAACCGGAAGCTTCAGGCTTCCGAAGGAAATGGCTAGGCATCGGTGGAGAGCGATCAGACGCCGGGGTACATCGGAAGCCACCGTTGCACTCAGGATACCACCACTTGGGACCTAGTGGCAGAGTGCAACGGTGTAAAGGGCTTTATACCGGTTAGGGACAGGAGGCAGATGTTCCCCGTCTGAACGCCGGTGAGTACACCGGTTGGAACCGGCACCCTAACTGATGTAAAGCCCCCGTCTGAACGCACCCATGGTGTCACTTCTGGTGACGGTGGCACTTCGTGGGCGATGCTTCCGACTCCCGGATCATCCCCCTACCCCCCTGCTGGTGTCTCTGACCTGGCAACCCAATCTACCATAGCCATAGCCCAAACACTGGAGTGTGGCTGTGATGTCACCAACCTGATGATGTCACTTCCAGCGTCTTTAGCCTGGGCGACAGATGCCAGCGATGTAGCCTAGACTGCCCACCCTCTCCTGGTAAATCCCCTGCCAGCCATCTGATAGGGGGCAGGGCCTGAAAGTGGGGGATCTCCCACCTCCACCAGGGGGCTGCCAACTGCTCAGGCCTGTTAATTAGCTCACATCCTTCCGCTGTGAATCTGGTATGGGAGGGAGAGCTCATTCTCACCCTAGGACTAACTATGCCTTTGTAGAACCTAAGTATTTTAAATTTTGGAATATTGTAAAGATGCGCTTCTTTTTTTGTACAACTGGTGTAAGGACCATAAGAATGAACTGAACTGAACTTGAACCTAAGTAAGTGAGACAGGTAGTCAGCTTTGTTATTCCATGCATTTACAGTGCCACTGAACTATACCCCTTGTTTTTAACATCTTTTCTTGAATTTCTTCAATAAAGCCTTCTTTTGCTTCATGGTGTGTGTTACTCAGGGAGTTTTGGAGACCAAACCCGGATAAAGTAGGGTTGCCAACCTCCATGTGGTGGCTGGAGATCTCCGACTATTACAACTGATCTCCAGGCAACAGAGATCAGTTCCCCTGGAGGAAATGGCCACCTTGGAAGGTGGGCTCTATGGCATTATGCCCCACTGAAGCCCCTCCCCTTCCACAAACCACCTTCCTCAAGACATACCCCAGAATCTCCAGGTATTTCCCAAACTGGATCTGGCAACCCTAGCACCAAAGGAGGGTCAGCCTTGACAGGAGTTTCCGTATTTTAACAAGTTTTCTTTTAATTTTTTTAGACTACAGCCCCCGGGCCCCCCCCCCACTCCACTCACCAACCCTGTGTAACTCACTGCACTCGCAATATTTTACAGTTGTTTCGATATGGAATGAGGAGTTCTGTCGCTTGCCAGAAGAGCTGTAGCAATTCCGGATGAAGCAAAGGGCAAGCCTTTCTTGCGAACTGTGAGCAAAATAAGAGGTATGAGAAACGTCATACCCTGTCTTCCTCCCCAGCGAGGCCCTACAGTTGCCAACCTCCAGGTGGTGGCTGGAGATCTCCCACTTTTACAACTGATCTCCAGGCAACAGAGAACAGTCCACCTGGAGAAAATGGCCACTTCAAGAGCTGGAAGTACTCACCCAATCGAGCTATACAGTTAAGCGCATATTCAGAGGCTTTAAAAAGTTTTCGTGAAAGTAAACAAACAGGGAAAAGATGGCGGGGAAGAGGGACAGAGACAAAGAGAAACTTTTAAAAACAAAACCAGAGTCCCCGAGACCGGAACCAACCAGTGAGACGACCAAGGCGATGGCTGAGGTCATGCACCCTCTACTTGAACAGCTCAATGTCTTTAAAGAGCAGATGTCGGTGGTAACAGCGAATATAACAGCGCAGCAAAAGCAGCTTGCAGTTGTAACAACAAGCATCACTGCTCAACAAACGCAAATAACGGACTTGATCCCAGTAATGAAGCAGGATGCAGAGAAAGTAAAGGAAATGGCTGAGACAGCGCAGAAAGTGAGGAAGAAAGTGCAAAAATTGGAAAAGAAAACTGTTTCTTTGGAAGATCAGATGCTGCAAGCCTCCCCCTGCACTTCCTGGGAAATTTTTACCCTCCCCCGTGCCTCCTGTGAACAAAGTCACTTCATTTGAAATGTGGACCAATTCCACACTGACATTTTTGTCAGTCGTTTTTCCCTGTTGCTTTGTGTCCCCTCCCCCTTTCCACATGTGTTTTGCTCAGGGCTTTTTTTGTAGAAAAAGCCCAGCAGGAACTCATTAGCATAATAGGCCACACCCAACAGCAGAAACCTATTAGCATATTAGGCCA